GACCGGCCCGTCTGGCACCAACAACCATGCCACGCTCAAAATTGCTTAAATCACCTTTCTTTCCCATTCTGACATTCAGTTTGGAGTTCAGGAGATTGCCTTGACCAGGACCACACCCCTAAATGCATTGAAGCAATTGCCATGTGATTGATTGATTAGATAATTGCATTAATGAGAAATTGAACAGGTGTTCCTAATAATCCTTTAGGTGAGTGTATATTATTATTTAGAACTGAATTTAAAATGAAAGTGATTTGCGGGGCATTGAAGAGTGTTCAGTTCAAGCAGGTGACATCATTCTAAACAGGAAGTAATGCGAGAGTGTACATAATCAATAACTTAATCACACTCGTAAGGACCCCAGTTCATAGAATGAAGAGTGGGAATAAGATTTTGTTTTTCCTGTGATGAACAGGCATCTCTTTGGGTGTCCCTTGTACTTCCTGTCACAGAACACATGGTTGGGAGACGGATGGATGATCAATTATTACTCTCATTTACATTTCATCATAAACCGTTAGACCAGGAGGGAAATGCATTAGCCAAATCAGACACACCAGATGGTCATGGCTTCTCACTCCAAACAGGAAAGTCTCTGCCTGTCCCACCCCTTCTCAGAAACCCAAACAAGCATTTTAAGAACGAGAAACGTGTCCCAGCCTTGTGGCTAAATATATCCCACTTCCGCAGTGACATTGGTGGTCTATGCTGGCTTAGACGTGGGATTTGGTGAGCGGCGACCGCCAATGGCCGGGTGGGGGGTCTGTCATGCCAGAATGGGGCCTCCTGCTGTGTGGCGGCAGGAAGACGACCACAGAGTTCTGACCCGCTCCAGTGGCAGCCCAGTGCTGAGCTTTTCAGAAGAACATCTTTTGTACAGATATATCTCATAGGCACGAGGGTACTACATACTCTGCCCTGAGGGGGGCAGTGTCTCACCTGTAGGGTAGCTCAAGGGGTACTTTAATTTAATTAGTGTTAATACACTGACGGGGCTTTTAGGATGTACCAGAGCTTACAATGGCCCAAACTCAACCCAGGACAACCTTGTTCTATTACACCATGGGCGTCTGCAGCTGTATGCCTGTATGCGGTGTGCAAATCCTTGGCATTTATTTGACTAATTCGGCTTTTTTTGTATCTTTGTTGTCCTTGTTATCCTATGTCTGTTACAGAAACATACAAAGAGGAGAAGGGCTGCAACATTCCAGGTAAAATATGAATCAAAATTTATTTTTCCCCACTAAGAATCAAGATAGTGATTTTCTGTCACTATTCCTGAACAACTGATATCAATCAGTATTATTTGGCATTACATATTATCTTTATAAAGATGGAACTATCAAAATGTAGAGATACACAATATAATGGGTAACATGCCAATATTTATACTTTATCAATATTTAAAGTTAGCGGCACCTCAAAATAATGGAGGTGATCGCATTGGGTGATCAGTCATGTTCCTCCGAGGAGAACAAGGGATTTTGTCGGCTCGTTTACCATCGAGATGAAATCCTTCACGCACCAGTCATACACCCTTTGAGTTCTGCATGGTTATAGCAACAGTAAAATTCAAAGCATGTTTGAAGTAAGCTGATTCAACCAGCTTTCAAAATCCACACAACATTTCACAGGAACAAAAACAGGTGGGACTAAAATAATTGGATTTTCTTCTAATCTTTATAAAATGATCCTGCATAACAGACCACCATCATCAGTGTTGGACAGGTAAAACTCTGGACCAGGTTGCAAGACTGAGGGACGGTCATAGACTTCAACCTAATGCTCCCAACGGTCAAGAATGGTCTCCAGAGCCCACATTCCCATAAGCAGGACAAGCGGCTGAAGAAATTTGATGGATGGATGGTATTCCTGTTATCTGAAGCTTTGTGAATTCAGACCATGCTATTTTACAACAATTATCGATAAACAACAATACTGTAGGAATGCATTTAAGTATGGAAGCTGAGAATGTTTGCAATCACTTTTTATGCCGTTTGTGTTGACGCTATGGGGCCGTCATGCCACGTGCAGCACTGTTCGCAAGCGTTATTTAACGTGTGAAATTAATATAAACAAACCTCTGCACCCACATTCAAATCTACATACGCTGTCTGAATCCCTGGGGGTTATTCAGCTAAGTGCAATGTGCTGAGCTTAGTACTGTTCCATCTACACAAAGGTAGACTAACAGCGCGACACTTAGAGATCAATGTAAACTCTATACATGTATAAGCTGCAAGTCCTTTTAAAACACATAGCTTACGCTGCCATGCTGCTAAATTATCTTATCTCGAGAAAACGAGCCTTGTTATCTCTAGATAAATTGTCTTATCAGGAGAAAGCGATTACATTAATAATCGCAAGCACAGCCGTTCTTGGCTTCCGTATTTAAGAGGAAAAAGCATAACTATATGTTTACCTGATAATTCCCTCACACAATTACTCAGACTGTGTGTTGACTGCTATGAGTTTACAAAAAGCCTTCTGCTGGCTCTGACTACCTATCAGAATGTAGAAGTTTCCTGCAAATTAACGGGAGAAAAAGGGGTAAATCAGAAAGAGTATAAGACACTGCATTCGCAGAAACCACAGCAGACATGTGTTAATCGTCAGCTACTGCAGCTTAACAAGCTAACACAGCAAATCCCAGGGAGCGCAAAAAATATATTATACCCTTTTCCTCCACTGTAAGCATCTTTGGATAAGAGCATCACATAAATGAGTTCAATGTAATGATCACGGACCTGACCGACCTGATAATCACTGCCACCCTGTCAAGCAACATGCACAGATGTCCAAAGGCAGCACTGTCACAGCAGGGCAATTTCCCACAGCTCCTTTATCCAGGGTCTTCTAAATGCTCACTCTCCCAGGCAGCACAGGGGAGAAGGCAGGGGTACACCCTAAACGGGAGGCTGGATTATCAGACAGCTCAATCAGACTCACAGGGTAAAATCATTTAAAACAAGCAACACTATTAACACAGGAGGACATTCACAAAGTTTATTTGTGTTGGATACAGGGCACTCTGAAGTTAGATGCAATACATTCACTGATGCGATCTCCTCCTGCTGGTCAAGTTAGGGAGTGCTGGTCTTTCCATTACATTGTTAAAGTGACCACTGCGTCACTGATTGTTATAGTCTGTTTTTTTTTTTAGTTTTTTTTTTTTTTAAGAAAGCACAATCAGAGGCAATCGGAGGGACATCATGCCTTATGACAGGTGATCCCAGGACGGAGGCTGCGGTCCGAGCTCACCTCCGATTATAGGGTGCTGGGGGTGGGGGGAATCCCAGGGGTGTGGATAAGGACAGAGGAGATGCAGTATGGTGGGAGAAGGCTGGCGTGGGACAGGAGCAGAATCACACATGCTCAGGACTCAGCGGAGGCCTGTAATTAACCCAGGACGCAAACCCAGAAACAGCCTGTCCTCAGCCACGGGCAGTGCACATAGTCCACAGCAGGCGATTCTCTGTGGCTGATCCCGACTCAAAGAGAGCACATCTGCCCCCCCTCCATTTCTCCGCATGACCGTCAGAGCGAGGGGCTGCTGACGGAGGTGTCCGGGCTGCCCTCGTCCTCCACGGTGCCGTCCAGCATCAGGCTTGAAAGCTGCTTCTGAGCGCAGGACAGGAAGAGCTCCAGGCTGGCCAGGTTCCTGTGGCGCGTGGCGCGCTCCAGCTGGAGGGAAAGAGGAGCATGTTACCGGGGCCGGACGTCACACATGCGGGTGGTCAAAGCGCGGTAACAACTCCATCAAAACGCAGACCGACAAAGGAGCGAAGCCCATAAAAGCGACTGTCAATTACTGGCTTAAATGCATAAGTGCCTTTTTTGTTAAAAGTTGGAGTTATGCAAATGAAATACATTCACAGAGTAAGATGACAAGTTCACTTCACATTCAATGGGGCATCCCGCCCCCCCATACTTTCAGGCTACTGTAATCCGCTTAATCGCAGCCCCTTATCAATCTAAATCATTGTCAGAACGGGTCCAATGTAATCGCTAGATTTCCCTACAGGAGTACATTTCTCAAACGCTCACATTAGCAATTTACATAATTGGACCCATTCAGTTGCATGGTTCCAACTTTGCAAGTTGCTACGGTAGTTAGCGACTATGCTTTTGGGAAACGTAGCCCAGAGTAAGAGTCACCTAGCGAACAGTCATACAGAAAAAGAATGCAGGGGCCACGCAGTGATTCCCATGTGACCAGCACTATGTTCTCAGGTGACTAGCGTATCTCGAAGCTCTAAGCCTGCTCCTTCCAGTCACTTTCAGCGCTCAGCTTCATCGGCCCAGACCGAAAGGAAGAGCTGAAATATAACCTGACGTGTGACATTCAACAAGATGTCGGTCAGAGAGGAAGGCGGACCACGTCGAGCTCGGCACCAGGCCCGGCTCCGGCCCGTTCGCCGGGGCGGGGGGCTCGCTGTGGTCTGCGTCAGGCGGGCGCTGATGATATTTCCAAAGAGAAGGTACACAGAATATCTTCCTGGCCGCAGCCAAACCAAAGTTCGACGTGAAGAACACGTGCCCCCCCCCCCACCTTTCTTTTTCTATTTTTACCAAGTATTCCCAAAAGAACGATGATCTCATTTTCTAAATAAACGACGAGGCTGCTTTTTGGCCACCGGGTGGCGACCATTCCCCAGGCCTCTAGAGCGCCACCCAGCCAGGTCTGATCACTTTCACAGGCAAAAAAAAAAAAAACACCTTTTTTTTTTATTAATGAAGTGCTCTGACCAGGGCTACTCCACGTCCTTTCAGCTCTCGCCTCATTTCATCCTGACCTCTGACCTTCAGCTCCTGAGGTCAGGACAAAAATAGCTGAAGCTCAACAAACAAACCTGACATTGGTTAGAATTGTTGAGAGTGAAAAGCCTTCGTCAGACCCTAAGTGCCTGGAAGACATTGATCTGCTGCATGTGAGAGGATAACGGGCTGAATGCAGGTGTCAGATGCTGGAGAACCACAGGAGCTCAGAGAAGCTGAGAAACCGCAAATGAGACACGGCAACGTGTGACAACAGGCCTTTGCATCTACAGTGTCAATCATCTGAATCTATGATTCAAATATATATTTTTGCAAAAATGAGCAAATAAAGAAATCTATTGCAACAGCGGCGAAAAATAAAACTTTAAGTATTCCGCTTTCCATCCATTTTCCAAATGATTATCCTAGCCAGAATTGTGGGGGATTTCCAAATAAAACTCTACTGAGAATCCATCAAAGAACCATATTGCAACCATGATGATGCCGGATTGTCTGGTCAGGCTGCCGTCCATTTATCGACATGATCAGTGAAAAGGAAAACTAAATGTTCATACTCTCTGCACCTTCGATCGGGTCCGGCGACACGTGAAGCTAACAGAGGTTTCCATATGCATGTCCATCCATTAAGAGAAAGGTCTTTCTTCCGAACCACCATCTTAACTCCATACCTGACACGCTGGCTGTGTTTAAATGTGTCACTGTGACACATTCAGTCTCAGAAAGCAGCCTTAGAAGGATGCAGCCACTTTAAATTGAGTGAATGGTTTTTAATTGGACCACAAACACGGTCCAGCAGCCTATCAGATTGGCCCCGAAACGGCTCAATTCCGTTTCCCTTCCACACAGATTTCAGCACCAATACTAGGATGCCGAACACAACCCAGGTGTCAGGGAGAACATCAGAGCAGGCTGGAGATAAATGAGAAGGTCCTGCATCTTCAGGGACAGACCCACATGAGCAGAAGGTCACGCTCCTGAGGAAAAAGGCCGATGTGTCAAAGAAAATAAAAGCGAAGCGGATTCAGTGCAGGAGTCAAACTGATGGATGGCGATGCAAAAGGGGAACTGAGAAACACTACAGACAGGCGTGCTGGACATCCAAAGAAAACAGTCCGCTTCAGGACCAAACCAGAACCACATGGACGATGGGGGAAACCACGGTAACAGAAAGGGCTGCCTTTCCATCTGCTGATTGAGGACGGCACCTGGGAACAGGGGGGCAGAGGCTGCCAAAAGGGGCAGTGCTGGGAAGGTACACAGGAGCGACCACTGAGATCATGCGCGACAGGGTGGTTTGGGAACACCGTAAACAGGCTGGCATTAATGAGAAACAAACAGCCGTTCACATTTACAAGCATAGCGTAAGACCTCAGGTTTAAAATCCGGCCTTGTTCACAAGGTCGTCACGCAGTAAATCTTAGTAGACGATCCGTGTTTTTGCTCCCTAGGGAGCTGGGAAGGAGCAAAAACGTGGACCGGCTGTAGGTCCCCGAGGACTGGATTGGCAATCACTGCATTAGAGGCTCTGGGGGCAGTCAGGAAAAAGCATAAAAAACACTTCATGAAAACAGATCCTCATAATGTTAAGAATTCGAGCCACAGCTTCAATAATTAATGTCACGATAAGAATGTTTATTCCTATACTACTAAATCTAGGTGGAAAAAACTAACGACTGAGTACTCACACCTGTTAAAAGCAAAGCCAAGCTCTAATGTGAGGTCAGTAAGGTCCGTCGTTTTAAGCCAAAAAACCCATGCAAATACCATTTAATAAATAATAATAACAAAAGTTAGAAAGTTGACACACTTCGACAGTCACACCACATGACAAATAGAAGCCTGCACCTGAATTTTATTATTTACATTTTTATATAAAGCTGGTGTGGATCAGCCAGTATGAATAACTGGTATTCAGTGCAGCCTCAGGACGTCCACAAAGCCCACGATCACTGCCCTGCTGGCTGAGTGTAACCGCTGCCTGATTAATGAGGTTTCAATGGGTGGCTGACTGATGAGGTATTACAGGCGAGGGGGCTCCCCAAGCCGGTGAGCAGGGGTCACCCGCTGGCCGTGGGGGCCCCACCACCCATCTGCGAGCCTTTCGCTCATTCGGGGGGCTAACCCCGTGAGCCCGGGGAACACGTGGCAGCAAAAACGGCAGAGAAGAAAACAGGAAAACACGCAGGCCCATCTGCCCGCCACATATCCCTCGGCCAGGGGGTGTCGGGGGGGAAAACACCTCCTGCTCAGCAGCTGTCCTCAGGAATGTGGGTGGAAAAACCTAACCTTGCTCCATCCCTTGGTGTAAACACACACACGCTCTTCTTGCCCCTTCCCCCCCCCCCCACATTTAAATTTAGACCACAGGTGCTCCGGGGGCTGCTGACCCGGTGGTCAGAAATAGCTGCTTTTTCCCAGGGGCCACGAGACGGCACCCGGGCACACGGGCGTCAAGCTCCGCTACGGGCTTCCCCAGAAGAAGAAAAATAAACGCGGCTCGATAAACGCTTTGTGAGAGCGCCGGAGCGTGCCCTCCAACAGGCCTTTTATTGTCCATGGCTGATGCTTCACCAGACCAAACTGAGGAAGGAATGCTCTGCAGATGGTCCACCTCGTAAAAGACGGGCACACAAAGGACGAGGAGGGTGGGGCCGCTTGGCGGCACCGTGTCTTTTATTAACTTAAAAATCTTCCAGTCTTCCCTTCACCTGCTGCTCAAGCCATCCATGGGAAATTTATGCATCTCGGTTTCAGGTCTCTTCATGTTTGAGTCAATAAAAAAAAGACACCTAAATTTAGCTGAAGGAGTTAGGAACAGGAAGTCCAGCATTCAGTCCAGACTTGGTTATACAGTATGGATGGCGGGACAGGTAAACAATAGCTGGGGAAAGGCTAAAAGTGGCTGTTCTTTCTGGGAATGGATGAAAGCGACAGCTCCTTCAGACCTGCGACGTGTCACCAAACACTTGCCGCAGATGAAGTGCAGGAGACACACTCCTACAACAAGCTTTGTTATCTGTGACCATGTCCTAGGCCCCACCGCCGTCAAACGACCCTCGGCGTCGTCTGGCATCCTACTGGAACGGAACCAGCTGCTAGGACATCTGGAATGTGGATTGTGAACCGTGGGTGGGGACACAGAAGACCATGTGTTCCTTTCTGTGCACATACCGCCTCGCTGAACCCAGAGCTGCCCTCAAGACTTTCTCTAGGTGTGTCGTAGGCCAGAAAAAAAGGAAGACATCTTGGCCGTTTTTACAGGCAGTCAGCAGAGTGCATAGCAGCAATGGGAACTGGCTTGAATTTAGGGAATTTAAAGTATCCACACTGTCGGGTGATGATCAAATCACCATTTCAGGTTTACATTCTTCAAAGCTCATGCCAGAAAATCCAAAAATAGGTAACCTACTTTAACCTAGTTGCCTGAGAGAAATCCAGACAGTGTATCGTTTTATTGGTCCAATACTTTTTCCAATAATCTGCAGCTTCCCTTCTCCTCCTCCTCACATGCAGTTCACTGCTCCTCCACAGCAGTACTGAACAAGATCAATTAAAATATTTGCGTAATAACAAGCATCCTCAGCTCCATCATGCCATGGGAGGTATGTTCTCGCCATATGTGACCCAAGTCTTTCTGGCATTCAATAGCCCAAGTTTCTGTACGTCTCACTGCGGTGTGGCGGGTTAACTTCCTGGTTTCCTGCAGCCTGTCTGGCTTTCGTTAAAGGCCGGTGTTGCCCCCATAGGACACAGCTGCGGCTCTCTTCAGGGACTGCTGGAAAAGCACCTTAATGTGTATTTAAAACACGTTAGAACCATGGCAACGAAACGACTTGCAAATAGGTAGTCAAGTAGCACAATGAGGCAGCTGGGACTCCGCGGTCCTGATTAAGCTAGAACCGCTG